TAATGCTCCAGTGGTCAATAAAGAAGAATTTCTTATCAATCACTGTAGACTTAACCCAGCTCCGACTGTATATACTAACATGGGTTTTCTCTGTGGTTTTCCCATGTTACTGTTCCAATAGCCGAGTGGTGAGGATCAGGGTGAATACGGTACAGACGGCACAAGTCGGTCCACAGCCGCAATGATAAGGCAGAGTTAACTAAGCAGAATGATAAGGGTTAGGGTGTAAAAGGGCGTTATTACGCCTGTACACTAGAAATCCGTTAAATAAATAATATCAGCCAAAGACACTTTTAGGTTATCTTATTGTTAATAAGAATTTTGAATTATTTCAGTTCGTTGGATAAATCTCTACAACCAATAGTTATTATTGATGTATTACAATAATAATTAAACTTGAAAGAGGTCTTCTGATGTAAAGAATGAAAACTTGAAACTAACCGAAAAAAAATGACCAAAAAAAGTGTCATCACTGATGACTCATCAGTAATACGGCTGTTGTTTGCTGACACGCCATCTGGTGTTTAAATTTTAATTCCTCCTAAGAAAATATGTTTGTTGATTTGAGAATTAGATTGTATTGAGTTAAAAATTCATATTTTTGAATCGAGCACAAACAGATATTGAAGCAAGAATTTAGAAGCCAAGAAAAAAAATTCCTGAAGCATCAAATTTGGTTTTCTTTCTACGAGATTTCTTAGTTCCAGACTATTTTTCTTGAATCAAGTTAATTTATTTGTGTAGGTAAATAATCTGGCTATATTGATAGCACATTAATCATTAATGATAATGATTAATGATTTATTATTAACGGATGGCCTTCGTGGTCCCCCATGTAGAGCAAAACGGGTCGTGGGTGTGTTCTCTCTCTTATACCGATTTAAGAGTTCTAAGCCTCTATTCAGAATATATACATATATACCTGTACTGCACAGTACATACGCTACGGGAACAATGTGACATTATGGTAAACGAGTGGACGAGCCTTTGTCGTGGCATGCTGGAGAACGCGTGTCACGGTAACGGGCTTTCGTAGCTTAAGCTACTCGGATCGTGAGCTCAGACCAACTCTCTTTCTTCTTTTACTTGCAAACTTATAACCGTTCCTGTTGGTCCCTAGTTTAGCTTATAGCTTATGTTATCCACGACTTTTAATATCTATAGATACGTCAATTAATATCTATAGATAGATGTAGATATTTATTTATTATTAGTTATTAGGAAATCTATGGATTTATAATGATAAAATTATCCTACGTCGGTCGTTTTAGAGAAATGATGGCAGGTTTAAATGGAAGTATGTTACTTATTTAATTGTCACTCTGAGAGTAATTTTTATTTAAAATTACCGTGAAAATGAAAGTGATTGTGGGATGTTTTGTGCTCCCTGATCTAATTACAATTTTTTTAATAATTGCACGACTTACGATGCGAAGCATCAGAGAGTGCTTACAATCGAAAATTTTTTTTTCTCTTCATTTCGGCAACTATTTTTAGTAGATTTCATAGAAATCTAACTACACGGAAAAAATGAAACCCGACTGGTTCGTTTTCTGCACCAGACTCAGTCTGGTGCGCACCCGAATGAGTCTAGTGCAGCACATGATTGAGTCCTCTTTATATATATATATATATATATATATATATATATATATATATATATATATATA